TCGACAAACAAGTAGCGATCCATATTGATCATTCACATAAACTTATACTTTATTCTTTTGTGAATAGTTTTTACTCAACTCTTTATTCTAATATTTTTGATATTATTTTACAAAATAGTGTGTTACATTATTTGGCATACACGTGCAATGCATGTGCCGATGAACTAGTAGTATATAAGAGGCATTTATACACTCATATACACTATTATACAAAATTTACTTCATCTTATTCTCTTATGAAATTTAACTTAAATCACTTTAAATTTCAGTTTTGAGCTAACCAATCAATTGGAACAACCCCTATTCAAACAACTAATAAACTCCATGTTTCATGTCTGCATTACACCTAGGATGTAGAGGCAAATCAAGGGAAGGTTAACTAATAGTTACTGAACTTGGATGAAACTCGGTGTGGAATTGAACTGGGCGTTCATATCTTTTGGAGAGATTACAAATTTTTGAGGAAGAAAATTATTAGCTTAAGCTTCGAAAGAGCTTTAATGGAGTTTTCCAGCTACAATATTCGATGTTCTTTACTCCAACCCTGGTGATGCCATTTCCATCTTATTCCTAGAAGAGTTTCGAAAATATATGGTCTGCAACATGATAATTTCAAAACCCCTCAGATCAGCCACTATGTACATCAGTTATTTGGGCAGATGCTACTTGTTTTCATGTTGTAGCCGATGGTGGCTAAACCGGGTAAGAACCTCAAATAAGGGTTAAACCGAGTAAGGTGTTTCTCCCAAATGTATTATACGTAATTGTTTCTTAATGATATAGGAAGGAAAACAAAAAAGACTTAAAACTCTTTTATTTAGAATAGGAGGAAGACAGATCCAAGTTCTAGGTAATCAAATTTACACCGTCATATCATTACTTTATTTAAAATATAATCAGCAGTTTATATATGACCTTTTTTATAACATAAAGTGTGATCTACTTATAAGTTTTAGTTTAGCAAATTATGATGGCATATATAGTAAATATTTATTTCACATTTTGCTAGTTGAGCCTGCCCTTTTAACCTTCAAATTTTGTTTTATATATATATCACACACATTTCAATATTATGTAGTTTTAGAAAGTTTATATTGATTGACACAGAATACACACGTCCAACACATGCATCCAGAAACTAGTTTACAAATAGCCAATTTGACGAGGATGTCAATTTGAACTAGATGTATAGGGTCAACGCATTCCTTTATTCTTCTTGTTCTCCAAGTTGTAGAAAGTAGGTGTTTGTTGCTTTCCTGACAATATTATATTTCGAATTTAGCAATTAGAAAATTAAAGGTTGACCAAGATGCATTCATGGACGAAAAGGCAAATAATAGCTTAGTGCACTGAGCTTAGACTCTTTCAGACAATCAAAGAACTAAAGGCATTTTGCCTTCTGTTACGTCTTCTTTATGGCTTTATGCTGGATTTTTCTTTGCTTCTTCAGTCTTTGTTGTTATTTTCATTTGATAACAAGCCAACCTTTTGATTACCCAACTGCAGATCTTTCTACAACTTGGGTTAACAGCTTTTCTGCACCCCATTCAGTGAATTTCACCGATGGTTCAATAGTAAGAGCTATACTACTCAGAGGAACCCTTGGTCCGAAATATGCTTGTGGTTTCTACTGTAATGGGAATTGTGAGAGTTACCTCTTTGCCATATTCATTGTGCAAACCAATAGTGTTTCCTTTATTACTTCTCCCAATATTGGGTTCCCACAAGTGGTTTGGTCTGCTAACAGGAATAGTCCAGTTAGGATCAATTCTACATTGCAGCTTACAGCACAAGGAGACTTAGTGCTTAGAGATGCTGATGGTACTTTGGCTTGGTCAACAAACAGTGTTGGAAAATCTGTTGCTGGCTTAAACTTGACTGATGAGGGAAACCTTGTTCTGTTTGATGCCAAAAATGCAACTGTTTGGCAATCTTTTGATCACCCGACTGATTCTTTGGTTCCAGGACAGAAGTTAGTATCAGGTCAGAAGCTAATAGCAAGTGTTTCAACAACAAACTGGACTAAAGGAGGTTGGTTTTCTTTCTCTGCTACCGACGATGGTTTCACTGCTCTCGTCGAGTCAAATCCTCCCCAAATATACTTTACAAGGTCTGTCGGTGACTTCAATACGAGTAGAGGTTCCATGTATGTTATGTATTTGAATGGAAGCTTAGCTTTATTCTCAAATTCTAGTGATCCCAACTATCCACGGACACTGGTGTTGTTTTATTGTCTTATTTATTATTTGGTGGTTGTTATAAATAAAAGGAACACCAGAATTTACGAGGTTCGGCTAATTTTGCTTACTCCTCGGACACAACCAATATTTTATTCCACTTCAAAAATACAAGTGAAATAATACTAAAGAGAGAAGATACAAATGCCTTAAGAAGATAAGAAGGCAAATGAGAGGTGTGTTTAAATCCTAAACATTAGGCCTCCTTTTATAGGGAAAAATTCTCAACCCCAAATTGTCACCCACCGATGTGGGACTTTTGACAATCAACAAATCTCCACCTTGGCAAAATTCCACATCTTCAATTTTCTCTCAATAACAAATTTTGGTTGTCTTCATCTTCATTCTTCAGTGTTCAACAATGTTGATCAAATCGAAACAATGTTGAAACTTGACCGCAGTCACCACTTTTGTCAGCATATCAGCAGGATTCTCTGTAGTATGAATTTT